TGATGTTTAATCTTCAAATCGTTACATTCACATTAATCATTCATTTAGTTCATAAGTATAAAGTCTAATTTATTATTTGTGAAGTTAGAATTAGCAAATAAAGTTTACAAAAAAAATAAATATTTATATTACTTAATGCCTTTCAAATAGTTTCTTCGCATTATTTATTTTACTCTTGTCAATATAAACGTCAGAAATAAAAGCAGCTGATTTTTGATATGTAATAAATAAATACAGTATCTTTTTTTTCCTTTTCGACACAAATAAAGTGAGGGTCATTCATATTTGCCGACTAATTGTGTGCTATGTATCAACCAAACATTATGTAATCTAACACAATGATAGATCCTAATTTCGGTACTAGATCGGATGATCGGAGAGCACGTGATCCGGAAAATCTCACCTACATCCTGGATCTGTCGATAGAGAGCATGCCGAAAAAGGTCAAAATTAACTGAGTCGTATGCTTTACTCATATCCTAAGATAGTAACCATAACTCTTTGTAGTTGCAGTTAGCATCTTCAATAAGATTGTTTAGGATATGAATGGGGATGGATGTGCTATTGCCTAGTAATGCTATATAGTTAAAGGGTGAAAGAATAGGGTACATAGAAAAAACTTTATTAAAGCGGTTAGTAAGAACTTTAGTATATATTTTTCTAACATGTTCGATTAGGCTAATAGGGTGAGTGAGGCTTAAGTTCCCATCAAATGCATTGTTCTTTTTGGTATAGGATAAATTCTGCCATGTTTCCATGACTGAGGTATAGTATTAAGAGATAAAAGTTAAAAATTCTTATTTAAACTTCTATATTAAAATTAGATAATTATTTTTTAAATTTTAAATTTATATAACTTTTAATAAATTTATTTATCTTTATTAATTTTAATAAATTTAAATTAAATAGTTAATCTCTACAACTTTTATTAAAAGTTTAAAAAAATTTATTCAATAAAAAAAAATTTAAATATTAATTAAAAATTAAAAAATACATATAAATTACTAAAAATAGCAATAATTTTCTATTATTGTTACACAATACTTATAATATAAATTATATTTTTTACTATGTGACTAATAATAAGCTTTTAATTATAATAAGCTCTAAAGCTTCTTTATATAATAAAACTTCTGTTTTATAAAATTAATTAGTAAGTTTAAGATTAAAGTTTCTTTGAAAGTGTACTACAGGTAGTATACTAAAATTTACTAAAAATGGTACTTCAAAATATATATTTTTTTCAATAACTATATTAATAAAATAAAAAAAATTGTACTAAATTATACTTGTATATTTATTAGATTTTTGTATATAAAAACTTTTTAGATACATAATTTTTTAGATTTTTAACAATTTTTTTTAACTGTACTACCGGTAGTCTCTAGGCCTAAATCCTATCCATTAAATATTTGCCTACTCCAAAGTTGCTTTAGCTCATTAACCATTGGCTGAAGATAATTTTGTAATTGCTTTGTATTTGGTTTATTTGGGCCAGGTATTATACCAACCAAAATAAGATTTTCATTTCAATATCTAATATGTCTTGGGAAATTAAGAATTGTCATATATATTGGTACACAACTTCGTTTAACATAACTATATGAAGTATATCAATCAAGATTAAAAGCTAATCCAATTCGAACATCAGCACTATCTTCAACAAAGAATGGATATTCTTTTTCATCTAAAAATTCTTTCCAAATTTTTCTGTCATAAATATCATCTAATACACCATTTTCAACTTGTCATTTATATGGTGAATCCATTAATTTTTCATTTGATTCATTTGCTAATATTGATGTGATTCTTGTTATAATAGATTGATATGAGTAAATTGCCAAAGGCTAATAAAAGTAAAAAAATATTAGATTGCAATTATTGAAAAATCTTTTAATAAAGTAACTTAATTTTATATTTAAGTTTTTCTTCTGATCTTCTAATAGTTTTTGTTAAAATTTTTTCACATGTAAGGCATTCTGTATGCTCTAAAGTCTTTAAAGACAAATCTGTAGGTAAGTAAAAAGAATGGCAATGCAAGCACACAATATATTTGACAATTGATCAGGTTGTGCAATCATTTTTTCAACGTAATGCTGACTACTTGGAAAATTTTGAAATGTAAATGCATCTAAAGATGTTAACACTTAACTAAAAAAAATAAATAATGTCATAATTCTGGTCTTAGTAATCATAAAAGATTGAAACAAAAATATCTAGAGAACAATCCATTGTATTATGTAATTTTCTTTCAACAGTGGAGGATTATATAAAAGATGTATTGGATTATATAATGGTTTTGGGAAGATATTTAAATTATTAATATTTGATAAAGATGGTGTAATTTCATTATAATCTTCATCAGATTCCTCATCAATTTCTTCCTCAATACTTTGAATAATATCATTACTTTGTTCAGAATTATTATCCTCACTTCGATTGGAATTATTGTCATGCTCGCTTTGATTAAAGTTATTATCAAATTCACTTTGATTATAATCATTCATTGGCAAATTATCTAATTGCATTACTGGTAATTTTTTTGATTTGCGACATGAACTCCTATTTGTTGTTGACTACTTATTGATATTAATTAAAAAAATTCTTTACTATTTAAAACAATAAACACTTTAAATACCTTACTACATTCTTGAGATAGTGAATTATTTTTTACTGAAGATGATTCCATTATATTTAACTTCGCAACATCGAAATTTGTTTCATTTTGATCATCAAAAAAATCTATTTCATTTGCATCGAAAGAATCTATTTCATTTGTATCAAAGAATCTATTTTATTTCCATAATCATTATTTAATTCTGAACAATAATTCAATGTATTGAATGTTATGGTGGCTTGTTTTGCTGAAGAAGTTGAAATATGTTGAATAGGATTAGATAGTGAATTTGTTGACATATTGTGAATATTTTTATTCTTCTGATGCTGTCGCCAAGTTCTCCAGGATAAAAACTTGCCACCTATTGGTTGGCATTTTGGACAAAGACATTTAGGCATTTCTTGCATATTTGTGAAAAAAAAGGTAAAGGAATGTGAATTTAATTAATATCTGTTTCTTAAAAGTTTACAATTTCAAACTTGTTTCATTTTCCCGCACTTTAACCTTTCCTGTATTATTAACTTCTACTCGAACACAACACCACACAAAATACTTGTTAGATACAAGTTTATGCAAGAAAATAATGTAAAAGATCGATTGTGTGTCGATCAATCTCTTCTTTTATATTTTTTATTATACAATATTGCATCATCAGGTTGTCGAATAAACTTTACTTTTAATAGCGTCATCATGAAATTAAACTGATCTACCCCTGCATCATAACCCTGGTACTAAGTATCTCACATGGCCAAACATCTAAGTTTTCTATTGGTTTTCTAAGTATTTTCTATTTGTATTTTAAAAACTTTTTAAACATATTCGTATTTTGAATTGATGGTAAATACAAAGTTTTTTCAATAGTATTCTATTGGTTTTTTGATTATAATTATTATTGAAAAACCTTAGAAATAACTTATTATTCCTTATAAAAATCTTCCAATATAATACTTTTAAAAGATATTTATAGTTTTACCTGTGGTCTATGCTGAGCATTTTATTAAATGTTGAAAAATTTACAAATAAAAAAATCGTAGAAACTGCATCTATTGCCTATTTCCATATACAGTCAGACCTCTCTAAATGCACGTTGTAGGGACCAGCTCTAGCATATGTATTTAGAGAGGTATTGCACTTAGGGAGGTAAAAATCTATAAATATAATATTAGTTGGGCCCAAAAAAAGACGTGCATTTAGATAGGTGTTACATTTAAAGGGGTAGCATTTAGGGGGGCCTGACTGTACTATTACAATTTTTTAGGTAAAATATATGTTGTTGACCAGAATTACGGTTTTTATGATTTCCAATGTCTATTTACTAGAAAGTTTTTTGTAAAAATAAAATAATAAAAAAATGGAATATAATAATAGATTAGTGTCGATAATGAAATTCTGTACCAAAAAATTATAAAATTGGTTAAACACTCTAGTAATTATAATGTATATAATTTATTGTCAAAAAAGATGGGTTGAGACAAAAACTTTATTGACCTGATAAACTCATTGATTATTTCACAATTTTTAAAAAATTTTCAATGTTATCAATTGCATATCATACGTACCTTATATAGCACCTATAAAATGTATACCAGGTCTGAACAGTAAGAAACAGTTAGACTATAAGCAAAGATTAGGACACTGACATTTATTACGTAATATTTTAGAGGTGGAGGTTAAGCGCGTACTATATCAATATCTTATGTTACACAAAGAAATTAGTATAATCAGGTTCTTTTTAAATTGGCCAATGGATTTTATGTGGGAGGAGGGGAACCCTCATAGTAAATGGATATTACGTAATAAATGTAATGTCAGCGCCCTTACATATTTGTATTATACAGACAACTCTTCCTATAACGAACTGTTGTTTCTGGCTGTAGAAAATAAAAATTGTTTGTAAAATACTTACTATTTTTCTTAAGAAATCAAATCTCATTTTATACCGAACTAATGTAAAATTCAGAAATTTCAATTTGTTATTTCCAGGGTTCATTATCAGTTATAGTGAGGTTCGTTATAAGGAAAGCTGACTGTAGTTTAAAAAAAAAAAATTACATATTGATATTGTCATTAGTTTATCACCATGCAAATATTATTTAAATTACTATATAAGTCAATAATATGTTCGTTTGTTTTTTATTTATATTATTAGTTATACTTAAAATATTAATTTTAATATAATTTAATTGCAAAGACACAACAATCAAAGATCCACGATGGTAAGTTGGCGTTTTAATAAAATTTTTCATCACAATTAACAAATATTCGAAGTAGATCAAAACTTAGAATTCAGCCGCATCAATTTAGAGAAAAAAAATTTCTTGTGCTAAAAGATATATCTATTCATTCAATCGCAAAAAAAGTGCAGTCAACTCTCTTTATATTTTTAATGAACCTCTCTGTAATGAACTCTGAATATAATGAACTAAAATTTTTGAATTTATATTAATTCGGTATTAAAAAAAGATTATGATTTCTTAATAAAACATAGTAATTAATATAGCTAATTTTTTCTATTATCAAAACAACAATTTTGTTATAGAAAGAGTTAACTGCACATTACATAATCTATCGAAGAAACAGTTAATTTAAAATATCAAATTCAAGTTTATTTGTTTATTTTATACATAGTATATGCATTGTAATTGCATTATATTATTTGAAAATAAAGTCAATGTTAGTCAAAAATAAATTGATTAAAAAAATCGAAGACTTATTTAGGGCCATCATTCGGGTACACATTCTCTGGGTGCCCTTTTTATCTTATTAATAAACACGTTTACTCAGTTAAAATGTTTTCTGCTAATCAAAATTCAATTCCAATGCACTTCCTACATATTTAGACCCTTTATTAATGTACTTGAACGCTCTAAGACTAAGATGTTGAGTACATTTAAAAGAGGCATATTTAGAGAGCGCTCTGATAGATTTGGTTACTTTTCTTAATAAATTTTAATCTGACAAATTAAACTTATACGAGCTGAATTTGTCAAGAAATTTTTACACTAATAATATATATATTGTTATTAAGCTCATAATCATAAGGTGTATCAGTAAAAGTGTAAATTATTAACAGAAAATACATTAAATGTATAAATAGACTATCTTTTTTCTTGTGTGTAAAAATTTGGCCTGCTTTCAGAACAATATTAAAGTGTAACTTTTTTTGATTAAGAATCTAGCATCATTTCTTATTTATGTACTTATGCAGAAAACATTTCATTTTTAAAAAATTAATTTATTTTATCAAAAAAATTATTGGTGATAATTCTGTAACACATATATATATTGTAACTGGTACCACTACCCAGTGTTAAATATCTAATGTTCTCAGCGTTCTCAAAAATATTTAAAAAAATTCAAGAACATTATATTTAAAAATTATGTTCTCTTTTGAGAACCAACTAAGAACATAAAATTTATAATTTATGTTCTCATATGATATATAGGAAATATATAATTTCTCTTTTTTTTATTTTTTTTATCATTAAGAACACTAAAAAATTAAAATTATCTCAAAATACAAAATTTTTTTTCAGATCTCTAACACTGCCACTACCTATCTGAAAGAAATTGCATGATTATTGGACAATCACAGTTACGTGTTTGTTTACATTTTGGTATTAATGTTGGGTATTAACATTGGTATTAGTATGAATGTTGATATTAACATTCATATGAACGTTAATGTTAACGTTAACATTTGTACGAATATTGATGTTAATGTAAACGTTTGTACGAATGTTGATGTTAACAGTTAACGTTTGTACAAATGTTGATGTTAACAGTTAACGTTTGTACAAATGTTGATGTTAACAGTTAACACTTGTACGAAGTTTATTAACGTTCATATGAACTTTGATATCAACGTTCATATGAACGTTGATGTTAACGTTCATGCGAATGTTAATGTTAACATTTGTACAAACGTTAATGTTAACGTTTACATGAATGTTAATATCAACATTCGTACAAAATGTTAATATTAACATTTGCATGAATGTTAATATCAACGTTTATATTAACGTTTGCATGAACATTAACATCAATGTTCATACAATTTACTAATTCTGTAATTGCAAATCAGGATATATCATTCTAAGGCTATTTGAAGTTAATTTTTCAGTTAATATCACTTTCTAGGACTCTCGGAAGAGGGTAGGAGGGGGTAAATGAAACAAACATATAAAATGAACAAACTATTTTTAATATAGTAAATCTATTATAACGATTTGACTTCAAGTTAAATTTAGTCTAGAGATACTAGTTGAGTTGCTAATTAGGTCAGATAAATTTGATTCAGTAGTTAACATTACTAGTAATGTGCCATTTATATGATATCTGAAAATTTTTAGCATACAGTACGTACAGTACGTAAGTTCTTTTCTGGCATCTGATTGGCTGGAACAAGTGATTAGCAAAAATTTTAGCGTACAGTACTGTATGCGGCACATCACTAAACATTACATTCCTATTATAAAAGAGAGGAGCAAAAATAAATAATAATTATATACTGCATTCATCTAAGAAAAAGAACTTTGTACAAATAATTATATAATGCATTCATCTGAGAAAAAGAACTTCATATGTACAATTTTTTATAACCAAAACTCTCGTGATCTAGTGATCAGATCTGCATCATTTTTTAAGATATGTACATATGTATGCAGAGATCGCAAATCAGAATTTTGGGTTTATTATTACTGGCTCCATTGGTCAAATACAAATTTTGTATAAATAATTAGATGGCTTAAAAAATGTAAAAAAGTATCGATTCGAATAATTGGTTTGTAATTGTTATTTCTATAAAAGTTAATTGCTAATCCGTCTAAGATAGATAGTATTTCATATACGCAAATTACTATTAAATTTATTATAATTATGAAATCTTCTTTTCCTCCATAGCTAACTATTTTTTTTTATTAAGCTAATGTATATTTAATTTCTAGCAAAAATTGTAGAGAACCCATTTTACATATAGTGTAAAAAAATTATTAAAATTGGTTTAGTAACTCGTGAAATATTTATATTTTAGATTTTGTAACTATATAGAATTTTCTTAATGAATGGGGAAAAAAAACTTTCAAATCTATATAAAAAACATAGTAATTTGTGCTAAAGTTACTATATAATAATACTATTGTTCTTATGCAGATTGCTAATTAAATGTTTATTTAAAGAGTATTGTTATTTCCACCCCCACTTTTGCTAATGCCACCCCTCAAAATTCAAAAAAGTGCTTCGGAAGAGGTATTGTTATTAAGTAAACCCTTCTTTTGATATTAATAAAAGTTGTTCATCAGGCCTTTCTGGTTCTAATAATAGTAAAATCATTAAAGTTGAACTAGTAGTTCCTAAGATATATATATCCGAAGTTAGTTAATTTTAATTTACTTTAAAAAAAAACCAT